GGAATCAAAGCTTTTGGAATTGTTAGGCCTCCTAGGTTACTATAGGAAATTCATTCGTGATTTCGGCAAAATAACTAAACCAATGACACATAAATTGAAGGGCAAAGCACCAAAGCAGAACACTGAATACACGAGAGGAAAATTATTTCACTGTGGAGACAGAAATCATTTGGGCCACTAAATATTTCCTTTCCTATACCTTTTTGGCCAAAAGTTCAAAATCCTTACGGACCACAGACCTTTAACCTGGCTAATAAATTTCAAAGAACAAAATTCAAAATTGGTTCGATGGAAACTACAACTGTTGGAATAAGATTACGAGGCCGAGTACAAGAAGGGACCATAGAATGTAGTAGCGGACTCGTTAAGTCGCGTAAAAATTGAAACGAATTGCATATCCAAATCAATCAATCAAGAATTAAGGAAGACGTCAGAAAGGCCACTAAATGAATTCAAAGCTCAATACACTTTCGAGCCAGGAAATGAAGACAAGATTAAAAATTACATTTTATTCGAGAACAAATTTAGACGCTTAGATAACTAATGTCAAAATCGACTCCCACACAATAACCGAAACATTAAAAGAAAATGTAACGCCTAAAAAATTACACGCTACAAACCAAATTATTGAGTTAATAAAGGAATCGTACGCTCAACATTTCAAAGAACACAAACTAATCAGATGTAAGTCCCTCTTAACGGATATTACGGCTAAGGAAGAACAGGAGCAGTTTATCAAAGTCTACCATCTGAAGAGCAATCACCGCGTAATTGAACATACTTTAAATCACCTGAAGATAAGTCATTATTTTCCGTACATGAAACAGAATATTACCCAAATAATTAATTTATTCGACATTTGCCAAACAGAAGACAGAAGACCACCTAAACCTGAGTATCAAAAGAACGAGGTCCAGATCTACCACTGAAAATTGTTCGTATAGATATTTATACAATAAACGGACAAACTTATCGACTAACTCTCTAAATTCGCCAGTGCCTGTACAATTCCAGCAAGGAGTTGTATAAATGAGATAAAATCCTTAAGGCACTATCTTTGCGTCGTAGGTATACCGACAAAATTAGTATTCGATCAGGAATTTTCTGGGAAGATCTTTACCGACTTATGCAACCAATATACCATTAGCACACACATGACGTCATTCCAACAATTGTTTAGTAATTCCCCAGTAGAAAGGTTGTATTCATCTCTCACTGAAATTTACAGAATAATCTTCGAAAACAGGAAGGCCAAAAAGCTGGAATGCGATCACGAAGAAATATTGTTTGAAACTTTAAATACCTACAACAACGCCATACACTCAAGTACAATTATACACCATTTGAATTATTTTCAGGAAGAATACATATATCCAAGGAGTTACCTTCAATACAGAATATGAATTTAAAAATAGTCTATATCCTATAGCCAAAGCACAGTAACAACACTAGAATTGAAAAGCTAATTCAAGATAGAGTCCAACCCATAGTAGTAAACTCAGAAGATGTAATATTCAGAAAGGAAAATAGATCACACCTCGATTTTCTAAGAAATAGAAACAAGAAATAGCCGACCCTGACTTATGGGAAATGTCAGACGAACACATATTTAAAATGTTAGAATTAGAAACTTTCATGATCGCAATTAAGATAAATAATAGAATAAGAATACCTACATTCAACCAAAATAATTACAAATTCACACACATACACGTGTAAATGAATCTGAATTCCTAATTGTACCCAACTATATGACATACAATAATGAACAATCAAGAACTCATAACAAAAATAGAACCAGCGCACATTTTAATATTAAATACACTATATACGACCATCGAAAAAAATTGTACCACTAAAATATCTATGAAGGGACTATGAAGTTAGTAGTAGTGACAATTTGGAGAAAAAAATCGACTATTTATTGACACTAATCTTACAAGGCACAATCAATAATTTAAACATCGATACATCCAACTAAACTCCAATAAATTACATTTTAAATAGACTACAGATTATAGACTAAGACAGATTGAAATGCGCACGGCGGACAGCAGAGCTCTTGACAAAATCAGCTTATCCTTCTCCTTCATCGCCAACCCCTATTCTTAAAGTGTTTTAATTTCCTCTTAAACAATAATCACAATTAGATGGGGACATAAAAAAAAGCAATCACAAAACTCATCTTAGTATGCCCTTGCACCAGTGGAGAACCTTGGCGCCGTTTCTGTCTCACTAAGCAGTCGAAAAACTGGTCCTAAATTTTTACATTTACCAGTTATAGTTGCAAGGCAACCCTGACGATACTCTGCAAACGAATAAATTACTCTTGGCAAAAGCGATGCAATCTTCATCCTAATCGCCAACAACATTCCTCCATGTAAAGTGCTTAAATTCCTGTGGAATACCAAAACAACCAGACGTTGAACATAAAAATACAATCACAATAATCACTCTAATGTATCCGGACGAAGAAGCCTGCTGACAATCTACTCCTGCTGATCCTGACGAAACGGTGCGAAGAAAACCAACACCAGGATGATGGAACTATCCTTTATCTGTCTTTAATCGCCACTGCAGGCCAACCACAATGCTTCACTAGAGACTAGAGGGACTACTACGCTGCTTCGATCAACTGGAAACTTCTTCACAAAAAACGGACAATTCCTAAACGCCGTCTTCATCCTTAGATGCTTATGCGTTAGTAGTGATCCTTCACGCTCAGCTGCCGAGCCATCAAACAGTCTAAAAACTTTTCCTGAAATTCCACATTTGCAATCTGCAGTGCAATCTTGACGTTACTCTGCAAAAGAATACAAGTAAATTATTACAAGTACAAAAAACACCCTAAGGCCAATAGGGAAGAATAAAAAACGCATTACTTACCTTAAACAACCGAACCTGCCTGCTTTATTTTTCCCATTTAGACCATTTAGACCATTTAGACCGGCAATGAAATATTTAATTTCCTATTGCAGCGCACCTCTGGAGCAAAGCGAACGCAATCTAGTACCTGAAAAACAAAGAAAAAGACGAGCATCTAAGGCGCAATACAAAATCGCAAATATTTGGCAATTTCTACATAAAAAATTGACAAGCGGAATACTTACCTAAAAAATCAAATCTGCACGCTTTGGCTTATTAAATCCTCCAATGGATTATCCAATCTCACTCAACAGCCCATCCATCAAAGCAAACCGAAATACCGTGTATTTCCTGAATATTAAACCTGAAAAACAAATCAAAATTAAATAAAACAAATGAAAATACATAACATATTTATTTATTTATTGCATTCCATGGTCAGACTCGACGCTGAGATCGGCTACCGCTAGCCGAAGTATCTAATAATATCACTCGCAAAATGGCATATCGACCAGCGGCACACGACAGACAGTGGTAACTCGACACACACGATGCTAAACGATGACTCCTGCAGCCTTTTGGCGAGCAGCGTACCCATGGCAATGTATCCCTCATCCAATCCCGACGGCAAAAACCAGAGACATCCATGTAGAAATTTCCAAAAAAATTTACCTCCAAATTGAATTCCCTGGACTCGAGTACCTGGAACTGAAAAGAGAATAACCGAAATCAGACAAAACAAATTTAGACACAAAGTATACTATCTAAACTAAATATCTGTATCCCATTCCATGAAATTTCTGGGGTGCCGTCCATCGGAAATGCATCCTGTCACGGCGACTGCAAGACGGTTTTCATCCTGGCGAAATGGCCTTTAATCCAGCTGAACATGTAGCAGCTTTCTGGATACCCTGAAATAAGGGAAATTTCAGTTGAAATTGAAACTAACTCAGTGGTAGCAATTACCTCCATTTTGACAGCACCACGGGATTTCCCTACCATGAACACACTTACCTGCCAACACGATTTTTAATGTTCCAAGTCGCGCAGTTCCTTCGGCAGCAACAAAATCGCACTCAGCGCTTCCGCCCCTCTGGCTGTTAACCAAATCAAAATTCCATGTTAGTCTTTATTTTCAATATTTCTTGTTAATTTTACCACAAATCAAAATTGTAAACAAACCTTTTTAAATTAATGTTACCAGGACATGCCTTTACAATCCATGGTACACAAAAATACTAGCCCTGTTAACTACTCTGTTAAAATCTACGTTACATTGTGTTACCCAAAAACCCAAAACTCAACATTGTATTGTACATCTCAGAATACGAATAATTGTACATAAATATTGCTTTTAAAGTAATCAGAAGCAAAATAAATTGTGAAGTCGAGTGACTGACTTCATTCTGCTTCCGTTTGCTCACCAGTCAAGACAAGTGAAGCAAAGCAAAGACAAAAAATACTAACAAAATGGACGGCCAGAATGGAAACTTAAGCGTAGGATGCGCATCAATATTATCTATCTCATCGAACGACGGAAGCTGCTCGTCGTCGCCGCCATCTACGTTTAGACGTTTCATCGCTGGATATCACGCCGATGTTGAATAAAATCTGCCACTTGAAAATCTGCTTCACTACCACTCCCCACCTCATTCTCTTTTACTCTAGAAAAAGGCACTTGTCCTTTACCTCTTATATCTCAATCGAATCTCATTGGATATGAATTACCGTGTTCATCCTAATTGGCGTGATGGCGAATTGGCGTGCTCATCCTAAAGGAAATAATTACTCTTATTAGAACTATATCCATACAGGTGGGTTGATACTTGAAATACACTTATGGCCTTGTAACCAATGGACGCCAACACTAAATACCATGCTGATGACATATGAGACCCAATCAAGGGACGTCTCAATATAAATTTCCACGCTGACGACAAAAGAAACAACAGTTACCTGTACATTTGTGATAACTCAGATTCCTCTCTTCTCTCTGTATCCTTCTTGATTTTCTACTTAAAACTATAACTGCTGCCAAGAAAACAAAAAATGTAATAATCCAAAAATTGTATCTATAAATTTTTTCAAAAATCAAAGAAAAATAAAATTTTAGCGTCAACAGTCGGTGAAATTAAAAAAAAAATTTATTTAATAATTGCATCTTGAATATAGAAATACAAACATTTTAAAGGTGCTTAAACATTTTGGGATTTAAACTATCCGTTAATTTCGCACACATTGTTGATGTTTTTGTATCGGCATCTGAAAACAAGCCACATTCCATATACTCTTGTGGTACCAATGACATGTTCGACTTAGAGATTTCATTTTTTACGTCTAATATTCCTGATTTTAATTCATTTTTTAAATCCGAAAGAAATGGCAACTCTCCAATTTCACTAATTTTTCCTGCATAACTATTTATAATACATTGTCTTGATTTAAGTTCGACCATATCTAATGAACGCTCTGCTGCTAAAGTCTTTAGTCTTTTTGCCATTTGTCGGTTTATACGCTAAGAAATAAAACGATAAAAATAAATAAAGATAATAATATCAGAATCAGAAAAACTTATTCCTACATATACAACAAATTAAAGTTTTGTTCAGGACATAAAATATCCGAAATGTAAAATCTCTAAAAGCCATTTTTCGGTATATACGCTAAGGATTAATACAAAAAAATCAATCTGAATCAAAAAAACTTATTCTTATAATAAGGTTGTCAAATATCTCCCTTCCTCCTTTTTGTCTTTTGAACTTCGCGGCTATGTACAAAGCACTACAGAGCTCGTATATGGCAATACTGTACATAAATGGAAAGATCTTGACATAACCTACAAAACGACGATATGCATGATTAGTTTGGATATTGCGTTCAACAGTTATAGACGTGTAAACATGGAGTTCACTAACGCCGAAACTCGCGCTATTTTAAAGTTTTCCTTCGTTAAAGGCAAATCCGCTAGAGAAACGTTCCGGGAGATTAATGGTGTTTTGGGGGATGGTACTCTATCACTTCGAACCGCGGAGGAATGGTTTCGACGATTCAGAGCCGGTGAAAACAACACCATGGATAAGCCAGCCGGCGGAAGACCTGTGACGACAAATACCGATCAAATCATGGAATACATCGAGTTAGACCGGCATGTGGCATCTCGTGACATCGCCCAGGAGATGGGAGTTAGTCACCAAACCATTTTAAACCATCTGCAGAAGGCTGGATATAAAAAAAAGCTTTATGTTTGGGTGCCGCATGATTTGACGCAAAAAAACCTTCTGGACCGAATCAACGCCTGCGATATGCTGCTGAAACGGAACGAACTCGACCCATTCTTGAAGCGGATGGTGACTGGCGACAAAAAATGGATCACAAACGACAATATCAAGCGAAAACGGTCGTGGTCGAAGGCCGGTGAATCGTCCCAAACAGTGGCCAAGCCGAGATTGACGGCCAGGAAGGTTTTGCTGTGTTTGGTGGGATTGGAAGGGAATCATCCACTATGTGCTGCTCCCATATGGCCAGACGCTTAATTCTACCATCTACTGCGAACAACTGGACCGCTTGAAGCAGGCGATCGACCAGAAGCGTCCAGAATTGGCCAACAGGAAGGGTGTAGTGTTCCACCAGGACAACGCCAGACCACACACTTCGCTAATGACTCGTCAGAAGCTACGGGAGCTCGGATGGGAGGTTTTATCGCATCCACCATATAGCCCGGACATAGCGCCAAGTGATTACCATCTGTTCCTGTCCATGGCGAATGCCCTTGGTGGTGTAAAGTTTAAATCAAAAGAGGCTTGTGAAAAGTGGCTGTCCGAGTTCTTCGCAAATAAGGAGGGGGGCTTCTACGAGGGAGGTATTATGAAGTTGCCGTCTAGATGGAAACAGATTATCGAACAAAACGGCGCATATTTGAACTAAATCCGATCACTGTAACACTTTTTATAAAGCATTGAATAAAGAGCAAACAAACGGAAGGGAGATATTTGACAACCTATTATATGTCACATTATGACACTTTGACCACTGCGCTTTCAAGACGCAGCTGCGCAATGAGTTTGGTATATTGTAAAATCATTCTTAGAATTTGACTACAACACAGAATATGACTGGTGCCAAAGTACCGAAACGGGTGAGGCGACGGCGTTGTTCGCTTCACTCGAGAAGTTTGTGTGTCAACACGGCAGATCATACACAAGAAAATAACAACACTGCGACATCAGTAGTGGGATCTGCTTTGCCTACAAATATCACCGATGCATACCTTGCAGCTTTAAAAGTGCAAGACAACAACCTTTTGGAGATCATCAAAAATATGCGGACACCAAAGGACCAAAATCAAGGAAAAAGCCACAACGGAAGTTCAACGCAAGGATCAAAAGACCGGTCAACAGTCAAATGTTTCAAATGCGACGAGCTTGGGCACTTCGCATCGACTTGTCCAACGATCATGAGGAAACGACCAAGTAACCGAGAAACGTGTTGACATATGTACTGTAGCTCCACCATCAGGAACAATAAGAAGTTCAACCGGTGGGTCTGTTCTGTCTGGCGGGTCTGTTTTGCTTCGACTCTGGCGCTGAATGTTCCATGGTTAAGGTTTTGTGGTAAAAGAATTAATAACATTATTAAATTGAACGGCATAAGTAATAATTCAATATGCAGCACTTAACAACTATTATGTAATATAAATATTGATCAATGTTATTTTAAGATTTTGTTACATGTATTTGAAATATGACCTACTCATTGGTCGTGAAATTTTAGGCCAGGGCTTTGGCGTAACCATGGACGCTGACAAATTTCAAATTTACACAACCAAAAGTAGAATCGTTTGTAATTACCAATTATGAAGATGTCATAGAATCAAATCGTGAACTTGATGATCTTGGTAAGGCAGCATTGAAAAAAAAATTCTAAAATGTTATTCAGATTGGTTTATTGATGGAATACCAAAGTCTAGGGTCACCACAGGGCAGTTGGAAATTAGATTAATAGATCAGCAAAAGACAGTACAACAGCGGCCATATAGGCTTCGTTAAGAAGAAAATATCAAAGTGCGGGGTAAAGTTGACGAATTATTAAAAGCTAAGATTATTCAGCCAAGCTTTTCACCTTTCACTAGTCCCATGATGCTAGTTAAAAAAAAGAATGGCACCGATCGACTGTGTGTGGACTATCGCATGCTAAACATCTTAAACTTGTGGCTGACAAGTATACATTGCCCCTCATCTCAGACCAAATTGCTAGGCTTCGGTTCATGAGGACTCAATCGAACGAACTGCATTTGAAACGCTAGAGGGTCAATACGAGTTCTTGGCAATGCCGTATGGTTTGAAAAACGCACCATCTGTGTTCCAGCGGGCTAAAATAGAGGCCCTACGAGATTTAGCTTACAGTTATGCAATTGTGTATATGGATGATATTCTCATAATAGCAGAAAGCAAAGAAGATGCGCTAGTTAGATTGCAGACAGTACTAGAGACATTAAGTAAGACTGGATTTTCATTTAATGTCACTAAGTGTTCCTTTCTAACCACTAAAATAGAGCATCTCGGATTTTAAATAAGCAACGGAGAAGTCAGGCCAAATTCACGAAAAATTCAAGTTTTAAACACATTACCACCACTCCAAAATGTCTCATAGCTAAGACAATTCATTGGTTTAGCCACATATTTTGGGAAATTTGTGTTAAATTTCTCCCAAACACTTAAACCTCTGTATCTTCTCACATCTAAGAAAAACACTGACTTTGTTTGGTTACCAGTGCATGAACAGGTACGAATAAAAATACTAACTATATTGACTCAGACGCCAGTTTTAATCATATTCGATCCGCAATACCCAATAGAGCTGCATACTGACGCAAGTTGTATTGGGTATGTTACATAAAATTGACAATAAACCTCATGTTGTAGAGTACAGTACAGTGTACATCTCCCGCCGAATCTAAATACCATTCATACGAACTGGAGATGTTAGCAGTGGTAAATGCTATTAAACACTTCCGACATTATTTGCAGGGAAGTAAACTTATAGCTTATACTGACTGTAATTCTTAAAAGGCCAGCCGCACAAAACTAGATTTAACACCGAGGGTGCATAGATGGTGGGCGTTTTTACAGGAATTTGATTTCGAAATAGAGTCTATACTCTATACTCTTTTCTATAAAAGGCGAGCGAATGGCGCATTTGGATTTTCTCTATCGGAATCCAGTGCTTGAACAACACAAAAGTTTGAATAAGATTCCAGAGTTACGAATCAATTTGACCGCGGTATGTGATAACTGGTTGGTTTCAGAACAACAGCGAGATACTGAGAAACAAGAAATAATTTTAAAGTTAAAGAATAATGAGTTACCAGGAAATCTGGATAAAACATATGAATTGTGAAAGGGAATACTACATAGAAAAATACAGCGAAATACAGGCAAATTGAGTGGTAAAAATGTTTGTTTATTTTTAAATATATATTAAATATAGATTCTGAAAGCTGCATTAAGGCAGTAAAATCAGCCGTGTCCTTGTTTGGTTTACCCACTCGAGTTATAGCAGATCAAGGACGTAGCTTCGCAAGTAAAAGTTTCCGCGAATTTTGCTCCTCTCAAAAAATTAATACGCTAACGGCTGTCGAATCTAGTCAGAGATCATGGCAGGATACGTTTGGCTGAAGTGCAGCTAGCAATGAAATGCACGATTAATCGTGTGACTAAGTTTAGCCCTTTGGAATTATTGATTGGTAAAGAAGCTCGAAAAATTTGAACAATTGAAAATAACATGGAAACTCAAGCAAAATTCGACACAGATAGGTTTGATAAAAATAAAGCTAAAATAGTAAATTTCAAAGTTGTTTGGTTTAAAAAGCTTATAAAAAAAAAAATTGTATTAAAGGAATTACACTAATGGTATGATTTATTAAATTTAAACTATGTTATGAAAATTTAAGTAATTTAATCAAGTTATGGTTGTATTTTGACCACTGCGCTAGTTCCCCCGAAACCCCCACGGGTAAAAGCCTAAACTAAAGGAACTCAACCCGGAACAGAACCAGCAGCGTCAGCACCCATATATTACAACTAAAAGTGTGCACCACCAGGCGAAACATATTAAACGGCTTCAATCGCTGATTGCCGCTCGAATGCATCGCGCATTTAAATATGTAAACGTCACATACGGTGCAGGAAATTAAGGGAAATAAACCGCAAATATTACAACTAAAATTGTGCATCACCAAACGACACATATTAAACGGCTTCAATCGCTGATTGCCGCTTAGATGCATCGCGCATTTAAATATGTACGTTAGGTTATATACAGTGCAACAAAAAGTAAGGGAAATAAACCCCAAATATTACAATTGAAACGAATATATACCAGGCAAAACATATTTAAGCGGGCATCAATCGCTGATGACCGCTGGTGCATCGTGCACAAAATATCTAAATTGTCATACTGCGGATAGGCAAATGCAAATGCCCCGCCACCGAATTAATGTGTATGTGTGTTTATAAT